CTTTATGGACTTCTTTTCTTGGAATACTCCATATGGACTATGCTCTTGTAATTTTGTAAGGACTATGGTACATTTACTGGATTTTTCTTTTCTAAGGACAATGGGACTTTTACTGAATCTTTCTTTTTAGTACAGGATTCTTGTTCTACAGGATCACTGAGGACTATAGCCTTTTTATAACCTAATTGGATTATTTTGTTTTTACTAATGAATTACTGGACTGGAACTGTTTTTATTCTTTTTAATGGCTTTTTGTGTTTTTGTAAGGTTTTTGAACACTCTTCTATTTTTCATGTTTTCTTTGCCTCACTACATCTTTGTAACTAACCAGCACAATGCTAGTTTATTTGCTTTGGTTTAATTTGGATTTGATACCTAGTAACATGCTTATTCTTTAATAAATTAAAGATTATAAAACTCAATTGGTTTTCTGAACAGTACACTTGTCATAGGGTCATCTGAGAGTAGTGCCTCGGCCTAGCATACTTTAGGAGTCCTGTCAGTGGTGCAAGTTAAGTCTAAGGACTACAAAGCCTACTTTATCTTTTCATAGTAATATCTCAGAGTACAAGGGTGTTTTTATGTGGGCAGACTTGTAAGAGGGAGTGTTGTAGCATGGCTAGCTGAGTTTGGACTCACTCAGCCCATTTTAGCGTGTGCAAACTCCTGATTGCTCTCTGTCCAGGCTTACACGTGTGTTTTCGAACCCATGTTTGCTGACAGGTGTCACCGCCATTTTATCTGTAATACCCCATATGGCAGTGTTGCTGAAGGATGCAGCCCAGGACATCACAAGGGCCCAACCCTCTGGCCTCAGGTTTTGGCCCTGCAATTTCAGGGATTTGGATACTGCTGGTTACCTGCTATCTAGTGAGTTCATGGCAAAGGCATATGGTTTGTAACTTATTCTTAATACTTCAGCAAAGATGGCCGGAGGGGAAGCGGGGAGCCCAGGCTAAACCGTTTCCTTGTTGCTTACCTCAATCTGCTTCTTGAGCTGCTCGCTCTCTTGCTTCATCTGTTCTATTTCACCCATGGTGACAGACTAACGGTGGGGCCCCCACGTGGAGTCTCCCGAGTCCTGCAGAGATCCAAAGAAATAAAGTGAGGTTGCAAACGCCCAAATACTGTACCTCTTGCAGAAGGAGGAAGGGGGACATACGAAAGGCCAGCTATCCCAAATGACTCTCTGCCCTCATTTCTAAAAGCCGGGTCAGGGTGCCCATTGCTTTAAGAAGGCAACATTTGTCCTCCCTTAGCCCATATTAATTTCCTGGTGGAGGCCATGAAGCCTATTAAATAATGTATTTATAAATATTGTATCTCACCACCTTTTCACTTAACATGGTAGGCTAACGCCAATGATTCCCAGGCCACCCCAAGCTTAGAGTTTCTGGTTATAAGCTTGCCTCCTGAATTTTTAGATCTTAAGTATCTGTTTAAATTATTTATTAATTTAGAATACAGTGTTTATATCTTGCCCTATGTCATGAGATCACAGGGCATGGTATGACAAAAACAATATAAAGTGATTTAAAGGTTTAAAACACATAAAAATTTTTTTTTAAAAGTTCAAACAATTGAAATCGTATTGGACAATTTAAGCAATTCTTTTCATTGACAAGCTATTAAAACCAAGATCCCTAATATCCAAAGGCTCTGGTGAAGAGGTATTTTTTCAGTTTGGTGCTTGATATTGTATTCTTTGATCCTTTTAGTATTGTATACTCATTGGTACTAATCTTAAATGCATTGAGCAGGTGAGGGGTTGGGCTGGATGCCCTTCCAACTCCATTATTCCAGCCCTTGGCCCCTTCCAACTCCATTATTCTATGATTATAAACGCTGGCTTTTAATTGTTTTAAGCCACCCTGGGTCCTTTTAAAGAAAAAAGGTTTGTTAAAAATATTTTAAATAAACAATAAATAAAAGAAATCAACATCAGCACCATTCAAGCTTCTGAAAGAGAGACTCCAGTTGAGTTGCTACAGCTGAAAAAGCCCTCTCCCATATCTCTAGACAGTGTACTATTCTGGAGGGGGGGGGACATGGATGAGTCCCTTCCTCCGAGCATTAATTATCTTAATCACTGGGCAGATACGCATGAGGAGAGGCACTCTCTCAAGCATCCAGAACCCAAAACATTATCAACACCTTGTTCTCAGACTGGAAGTGTATTGGCAGCCAGTGTGATTCTTTCAGAAGAAGGGTTGTAGCTGTTTCTGTTAGCAGCCTGGGTGTCACATATTGTATTGTTGGTAGCATCCTTATTGTCTTTTAGGGCAGTCCTACACTAAGCACATTAGGTAAAGGTAAAGGTTCCCCTTGACAATTTGTCTAGTCGTGTCCGACTCTAGGGGGCGGTGCTCATCTCCTTTCCCAACCCATAGAGCTAGCGTTTTGTCCACAGACAATCCTCCGTGGTCACGTGGCCAGCGTGACTAGACACGGAACGCCGTTTACCTTCCCACCAAGGTGGTGCCTATTTATCTACTCGCATTTTTGCATTTTGCATGCTTTAGAACCGCTAGGTTGGTGGGACATTACAGTACATTACATTATATTACAGTACATTGCATTACAGTAGTCTAAAAATGAGGTTTCCAGTGGATGAACAATTCCAGCCAGGTTTAACTTTGTTTATTGAAAATGAGGCAAACTGACAGAATATCATTGCAAAGTATTTTCCAAATCCAAGGTGCAATCCAAAGCAAACCAATGATCTCTACTATGGCACTCTTCCACAAATCAAGGGGAAAGACCACTAGACAAAATCTCCTGTGGATACCACTTTTGCTGCCACCCTCCGCTAGTTTTTTTATAATGCTTATGAGAAAAAGAGGTTAAATTATACTTCAGAAAAGTAGACCACGTTATTCCATTGCAAGAACGCAAGAGCATTATTCTCAGTGAATGTATGTCTGGATTTTACAGCTGGCTGAATCACATTTGGTTGGCAAATGTTCCTGATGGGCAGCCCTATAAAGCTGGTAGGGTGTACAGGGAGGTACCTCAATGGCTGTCTATGCTTAAACTTGAATGAGCAGAAAACCAGCACATGGTATTGCCTGATACCACATGATTTCAGAGCACTTTTTAATGAAAAAAGGGGGATGAGTTAATTAGCTTGAAAAAGAGAGGACTCCTCTAAAGTAAGGCTCTGGAGGCTTGCAGGTTGCAGGATGAAGTGGAGAGACCCTCCCAAGTTCCCCTGCAAAACTACATGCACAGTCTTAGTTTGTAGGCTGAGAATTTAGAAAGAAAGGTGTTCAAATCAAAGAGAAAGGAGAAGCAAAGAAATCTTAAGCGTCACTGAATTAAAGGATTGTGTGAAGTAGGTACTTAACCTCCCCTGTTGTCAAGATCTTAAAAATTACCATCTTTGCTGGATTATAACCAACAGACAAATGTAAATCCACGATGTAATGTAAATTTGAATTCCAAACACACAGGGTTTGTGAATACAGTATTTGCATAGAAAGTTCTCTTTTTAAAATTTTATTTTATAGGTTAGGTGTAGGGATAGGGGACAGGGGATTGAACAGGGATTTTAAATCAACATGAACATTTTACAATATTCATTCTTATCTATTACATTTCAGAGATAAGTTTCCAGTGTAACTAATTTATAATACATATTCTATTTCTAAATTGATCTTAAGCGTTCAGTTATCAAATATTAATTTGCGTTCTGTTTCTAAGCCAATCATAAAATTTATGCCAACAATCTTCATGATTTTTTGTTGAGTCTAGCCATTCTGATAGTTTATCCATTCCCGCCATATCCAGGATTTTTGCTGTTAACTCATCTTGAGATGGATTCTCCAGGTCTTTCCAATATTTAGCAAAAAGAATTCATGCAGCTGTCAAGATATGGATAACTAAATATTTTTCCATTGAGTCTATTGAATCTGGGATTATATTTAGAAGAAAAAAAATCAGGGGTTACAATGATCAGAATCTCTAAAACCTCTTGCAAAACCATTTCAACTTTTTCCTAATATTTTTGGGCTTTCCCATGTGACCACCACATATGATAAAAAGAACCTTATTTTTATTTACATCTCCAACAAAGATTTGAAATTTTAACATCCATTTTGGCTAGTTTGCATAGAAAGTTATTAAAGGACCTTTCAAGCATTTCTGGTATAACATAACATCAACAAAATCTATCAGAACCTACTTTTCCCTTCTTCTCTTCCTCTTGTTAATCCTAAAATACTAATTATACATAGGTACAATGAGCTTACAAGTACTTACAATATTGTAAGTATAATGTCAGTATATGTATTGAGTACTGAGGGTTGTGTAGAATATTGCATCAATAAAGTATGTTTAAAATTCAAAAGTTGTGTGTGGAAGGGATTGTCACTCTTGAATTGGCCTTCTCAGCCACACTAGATGCTGTTCCAAGTCCTCCATACAGAGCACGTTACCATAGTCTTTCAAGACTAAAGGATGCCTAACTAAAGTTGTTTTTATATTTTGTTTTGAACTTTTAAATATCAGTCATTGATACTGCTCAGCTGAATAAGAAATCCATTACATGAAGCTCATGGGCAGGTGAAGCTTTTATTACACAGCTGTCTCTCTAACATGGAATTTCCCAGAGGTTCCATCTTCCAGTTGTAACCCTCTTGTGTTTCCCCATTGCCACATCTTCTTTTTTTCTTGCAAGAAACAACCTGACCCCAAGGGAAGAACAGAACGGCCGCAAAATGCCTTTTGATGGGCAGTCCCTGGAGGCCTTCATTTGGAAACAACTTTCTTTTCTGAAGAATTTGACCAAATGAATGAGACTGCTTTCAGGTGCAGAATCAAGGGTTGTTGTTTCTTTGTTTGTTTGTTTTTAGCACGCAGATGGATACAAAATGTGCAATCGGAAAAACACTTTGCAGTTGGAAATTAACAGATGTGCAGTTGGAGAAAGAGAGGGGGGGGAAAGAAACAGGTTATGTGTGGTTGTGCATTAAGAGCTTAAGTGTTGTCTTAGAACTGCAGAGGGAAGGAACCCTATGGAACATCGAGTCTAACTCCTGTCAGGAAGTCACAGTGAAGAATCAAACTCCCAACCTCTATCTAAACCATTAAGCGATTCAGGAGTTCATGTAATACAAGCTGCACCGTTCCAGGGCACACGCCCCCCCCCCCCAAGGAAAGGAATGGTAAATCATTTCTGATTACTCTCAATCTGAAAAACTGTGAAAAGAGTTGTTATAAGTCAGTATTGACTTGGTGGCACATCATCGCCATCATCATTATTATTTCTAAAATTAATATATAGAACACTGTATTCCCATAATGTACCTCATTTCTCCAAGCTCTACCATTTACCAACTTCCTGAAACTGACGAGACTGAAAGGACTTATTCTTTCATGATTTAAATATGTAGATATTGTATACAGTCATAATAATTATGCTATTTCTCTTCTAACTTATTGTGGCAGAGCAATGATTTATGAACACGATGTGCCATGTGTTAGATCAGTGGTTCTTAACCTTGGGTTACTCAGGTGTTGTTGGACTGCAACTCCCAGAAGCCTTCACCACCAGCTGTGCTGGCTGGGGTTTCTGGGAGTTGCAGTTCAAAAACTCCTGAGTAACCCAAGGTTAAGAACCAATGTGTTAGATGCACCTGGCCGCCATAACTTTTACAGTCTGAAAAAATAAATTTAGGGTTACACTTAGATAAAGCTTGATGGCACCAAAGACCCAAGGTTAAGAACCACTGTGTTAGATGCACCTTCAGTGGCCGCCATAAATTTACACTTAAATTTAGGGTTAGACTTAGATAAAACTTGATGGCACCAAAAGGCTTTTGTTATCATTTGCTTGTTATACCTGCTGAAATGGACTGTAACATGGCTGCCTCTTTCCAAAACTTGTTGTTGTTTAGTCAAACTACTGGAAAGCAAAAGATAGAAAACACAGCTCTGCCCTCTGGTGGCAACTAAGAAATATTACTCAAGCAAGAGGTAAATAAAAAGCGAGCAAGGCAACAGACAAAGGGCCTGTCCAGACTGACATATAGATCGATATATAGATCACTGTTGGTGCTGTTTGGTTCTACCTAGAGATGG